TAAGTGCGGCCGAAGGCCGCCTACGCAGAAAGGTGTTCTCTGCAAAATGTGTTCAGCCCCCCCTTATTCGGCAACACAGAAATAATAATTCTACTAAGTAAAAATTCCGAATTAAAAATCCGCTTTTATTATTCAAAATTCCAGTCTGGTAGCACTAAGTTGTATGTTATTTTGCTATCTTATTCATCGTTTATATGAAAACTTTAACAATAAATTATATAAGAACTATAGGGTTGCTAGAAAAAAGGGGGGTAGTTTTGAAATCAGGGGGTCCTATTCTACCCCCCCTCATACCCCCTTTTTCTAGAATTTGCCGTCCGTCTACTAAAATTTTCCCAATTAATGTACTATATGAACTTTTTTTTCAAATATTTCTTAAGTTTCTTTCATGAGTGCTGAAAAGCAGCCATGCGTGTAAGAAATTGTGTGCTACCTAAAATTTCACCTCTGGAAACTTTATCCCCATAAAGGACTTCACCACAGTTTTTTTACTGGATATACTGAGATGCCAGCTTTGGCTACAACTACATAAATGTGGTCACATGTATGTATATAAACAAAAAATAAAGTATTAATACCTAAATGTACTTATGTAAGTAAAAAGAAGGAAGTGCAATGCAAATATGTATGTACATATGTATGTTAAAAGTGCAACTAGGTACATATGCAAACAGCAATAAGTGTGGTGCAATAAATGGGAAAAGTGCAGTAGAATGTCTGTTTTCCTAAGCGCAACAATATAAAACATCAGTTTCTTTTAATTGCTTAATTTGTGCCAACTGAGTTGAATGTAAATTGTATAAATTATCATTTCACGGTTGTACACTCAAGAATTGATGCGTTTTTAAAAACAGACATTTTCGGTCAGGAACAATATTTGCATCCGCTGCATTTGCATCAGTTGTTGTAGTTGCATCGACCAAATGCTGGCTGGGTACCTACATTGTATACATACATATGTGTGGAAATAGTTGCAACTGCATAAATGTGTAGATATGTATGCAGTTAAACAAAAGAAAGTGAAGTGCAAGTACCTTTGTACAAAGCGCAGCTGCAACGACGTACATGTGTACATACGTATGTAGGTAAAAAGAGGAAAGTGCAGTGGAAATATGTATGTATATATCGTCGCTCGAATAAAGAAACAGTGTAAATGCCAAATACACTTTTATTCGATAATTGCACTATTGGATGGACAATCCTTTAATCTATTTGAAAAATGTTTAGTTTTCTTAAATATCTCTTTGGCTCACTAATTTATTCCCGAAAAACCAAATTGTATTTGTATGGTTTGTAATGGTTTATAAAAACTTCCAATTAGTTTTTCTCAAAACTATACTTTTCATGTTACATTATTTCATTATTCCAGCGACGATATGTACATATGTGCAACATACAATTAGCATGTCATGGGGGTGCTATTTTGGACTTAATGCGTTTTGGAAATAAGTTTTCCTTTTCGTCTAGGTACGATATGTGCAACATATGTATGTACAATTAGCATACATACGGCAAAATATGTAGAGCTACATATCGCCGTTTAAAGTGCAAAACCGCGTATCGTCGCTCTGCAAAGCCGCGTAAATTACCTTTTTTGCCAAAAATTGGATTAGCTAACAATAGCTCTTGGATCAAGCCTTCTCCATTCGTTCTAAAATATACTAGATAGAAATGCGATTGCTTTACAAAAAAGAAAACCATTTTGACATGAGAGTTTTTACGCCCTGGAATATAATTTACGCAACCTCACATACGCGGTTTTGCATTATCTTGATACGCGGTTTTGTACTTTAAACGACGATATGTGGATACACTTGCCTATGGCCATAATATATAGACGTTTCAATGAAGTGTTTTTTTGGTTTTGTTGCGATATTTTATATTATATATTATTTATTATTTAAAATGTTTAAATTGGTGTTGGATTAACTTAATTAATTAAGTCTTGTAAATATGAGCATGAATTTATCTAAATAAACTAATCTTAATTAAACTATAGTCATCTGCTTTTTGTATAAATAAAATCCATTATTTATGAATTATATTTCATTGGAGAAATAATAATTTCTTACTTTATTTTTCAGATAGAATCTAACTGGTTGCATCCACAACAATAATTTAACCATTTTATTTTAATTTCAGGTTGCTGTACAAAAGACGTCTTGAAGCATCGGCAGCTACATTTAAACAAATATATATATTTTAATACATAAATTATTTATTTTTAGTTATTCAAATTTTTTTAATTTTTCGTTTAGATTGTTTCTATCGGAGAGTCATTGGATGTTGCCCATAGCCATTGGAAAATGCTGCATGGGAAAGATGATAACAAAGATGAAGGGAAAGATGCCTACAAACGTCTCGATTCAGTGCAGGTAGTTGTTTAATTACTAATGCACTTCAATTTTGCATACTTATAATTGTTTGATTTGTTTGCAGTCATCATAGGAGCAGTAAATGGTGTTCGGTGATTCTGCCAATTTAATATGAAGTGTCCGACAAACGCCAGCAGTTACTTGAAATCAACTTTTGAAAAGATCTATATATAAGTCGTAAAAACGCAATCAAATTTTGCAAAGTTATAACGAAACCGATTTTTTGTGAACCAATGTAAATGATTTGCAACTGTTAATATATATCAAAAGAAGGGTAAATCGATTACCTTTCTTTTGATTATAATATTGTTAAAATCGCTTAAATATTTTATAGAAATTTTGCAACTTTTGTAAACATCTATATGTAAGCAGTGAAAAAGTCGTAAAATTTTGGAAAGTTGTAATATAACTGAATTTTTGTGAACCAATGTAAATGATTTGCAACTGTTAATATATATCAAAAGAAGGGTAAACCGATTACCTTTATTTTGATTATAATATTGTTAAAATCGCTTAAATATTCTATAGAAATTTTGCAACTTTTGTAAACATCTATATGTAAGCAGTGAA